TGCTGTGAAGGCAATCAAACACTGGAACAGGTCACCCAGACAGCTGTGGAATCTCTACCATTGGAGATAACCAAAACTCAACTGGAGAAGTCAACCTGCTTGAGATGCACCTGCCTCTGGAGGTCCCTTCCAACCTACATTATTCTCTGATTTCTAGTTATAATTAAATAAAACTCTCAAAATATCACACTTAACCGAGCTGCACAAATGAATATGTAACCTGCCAGCTAACTATGTTGCAAGACTGAAAAAGGGAGGTGGGAGAAGCGGTACTAGACTGTTTACACTGTGGCCTCAGCTCAGGTGCTTCTTGAGATGCCTTTGGTTTTACTGCCCAATCTCCTGTGCTAGAAAGACGCAGATGTTTTGTGGGCATATCATGATGCTAACCCTATATTTACATCTCAGGTGTTCCCTATCATTACAGATGACAGGAGATATTTAAGTGACTGAAGTGAGTTTTATGCATCTATCTTTGTAATATAGCTATCCTGGTACCCACAATGTAATGTATGCTTACTGACCATGATTCTTGTGCATTAGGCTTTTTACAGAAGCAATTCCATATAGATTGTGTAGGCATGAACACATTCCTGCTGAACAGATGTCAGGTTTATTGTGTGTGTCTTGGTAAATGAGTTTTGGGGAGATTCTGAGTTATTATATATATAACTCAGTATATTATATATATTATACTCAGTATATATTATATATATTATACTCAGTATATATACTCAGTATATTATATATATAACTCAGTATATTATAACTCTGTTACTAACAGAGTTGCTTTGAGATGATTGCTGGGAGCGCCTTAGGGGGCAGCAGGAGAAACAGTATTTTTTGTTTAAAAATTTTAAGGTAGTTTTGCCACAATTACCAATTTAAGATCAGAGTTGACTTTTAAAGAAGTGAATTTCTAGGAAGAGTTAGTAGAGGGTATAAACTGAGTCAAATCTAAAACATGAAAACAAGATGCTGGTGTTTCAGTCAACAAAGATGGGTGAGCCAGAGGAGAAATGAGAAGAGTGGTGATGTGTAACTATTCCAAGACCCCATAGGCCAGTACTATTCATAGTGCTCTTCAATATCCACATGAATCCATTGAAAGAGAAAGCAACATATGCTTGACTCAACTGCCAATCGTTTGTTCCTGAAAGTCAGATACTTATCGCATTCTAAACCACTATCCTTCCTGAATGCAAAAATATCTTTAGAAATATGAAAAAAAAAAAAACCCAAACCTAAGACTAGAGATGCTGGCAAAAAAAGGGGGAAAAAAGGAAGTTTGCAAGAAGCTGGCTAACTGAAATTAGAAGTTGCCTGACTTGATGGAAAATTTTGCTATAAAAGGCAAACTGCTCCTATTCCTTAAAGAGGTGCTAAGAAGAACCAGTGTCTAAGTTTGGATGAACAGAGAACAATAGTTGTCAAGGTGCTTGTTTTTAATTTCAGCTTGCTTAGTAGCCTCACTCTCTGTTCCTTGACAATAATCTAGCTACTGTGATGTGGACACACATATGTGATACAGTATGGTAGCTGTACAGGAATTTTTATATGCCTTAATGCCCAAGATAAATCAGCGGGAAGAAGAAGATGTTGTTGCCCAGATTCAATTTGATATTTCTCTGTAGTGTATCTGGAAATGACTAATTTGGCATCTGTATTATGAACTAATATGAAAACTTTCACCAATTTCATAATTAAGAACAGACTACATGTGAGATCCTTCCTCTATGCATGAAGCAGGGTAAATATTTCTGATTGTGGATTTCAGTGACAGACCCCTCTTTGACTAAAGCTACTTTTCATCAAAATGCTAATTTTTTGAAACTAAAATGATTTATGAGGAATATTCTTATTCTGTATATTTCAGCCAAAACACAGGCAGTCAAGGAAACTGACATGCCACCAGGCACATTCTATACAAAGCTGTCATGAATTTCCACTAGCTTGCTGGGAATCCTGATTTGAGGACACACACCTCAGAGGAGGGCTAGGGCTCACCCAAGCTGGAAGCTTCTTTGATACAGTTGGAGGCCAGAATTGGAGAGAATTTCAACTTTTGCCACATTTAGCTCCTGGTTTCTCAACAGGCATCAAGAACTTTTGCCTATACGGTGGGGCTGCCTCACATACACAGGCCTGGACACTGCTTGTGTAGGAGCCTCACTCAGTTCTATGTCAGTCAAAACAGCATGAGACCAAGAAGATAAGGGGCAGAATTTAGATCTGGTGCGATATGGTTCAGTACATATTCCAGAGGTTTCCTTTCAGTGCAGAAGGCATCAAAATCATTTCAGTCAGAAAATAAACTTGACAGATCATTTATAGTTTGATCTGAGCTTGAAAAAAAAAAAAAAGACTTTCTTCTGCTCTTCACCAGAAAATAGCTGACATCTTGGGATTCAGGGGATTAGAAGAGAAAATGAAAGATGGTTACCCAGTGAAAGGAAAAAGGAGGAAATAAAGATCTCCAGGTACAAAATCTATAAGCCACAAGCCACACAAAAGCACAATAACATGCTGCTGTGCACTAGACTTTTCTTGCTTCCCTGCTATTCACAGACATTTTTATGGTGGAGAATTCCTCTGCTACATCTGGCTCTTGCTTCTTCCAGCATCACTTGAAGCAGAGGATCATGGACACTTAGCTCCCAGCCAAGGAACTGAGATATTTACACCATGCAGTGACTTTGAGTCAAAATACTACAGCTGCACATAATGAACATGATTGCTATTATTCTACTCTCTGCTTGATTCATGGAAAACAGCACAGTGATTTTTTCCCTAATTTGGAAATGAATCTTCAGGTACAGATAATCATAGGATCATAGAATTGCTATGGTGGGAAGGAACCTTTAGAGATCATCTAGTCCAACCTCCATGCACATGCAGCATCACCTAGAGCACGTGGCACAGGACTGCATCCAAGCGGGTCTTGAATATCTCCAGAGAAGGAGATTCCATAACCTCTCTCGCCAACCTGTTCCAGTGCTCTGTCACCCTCACTATTAAGAAATTTTTTGTTAAGTCCCGGTGGAACTTTTGGTGCTTCAGTTTGTGACCGCTTCCTCTAGTCCTATTGCTGGCCACCACTGAAAAGAGGCTGGCCCCATCCTCCCCACTCCCTCTCTTAAGGTATTTATATACACTGATTAGATCCCCTCTCAGCCTTCTCTTCTCCAGGCTGAACAGGCCCAGCTCTCTCAGCCTCTCCTCATAGGGCAGATGTTCCAGGCCCCTGATCATCCTTGTAGTCCTGTGCTGGACTCGCTCCAGCAGCTCCACATCCCTCTTGTACTGGGAAGCCCAGAACGGGACACAGTGCTCCAGATGTGGCCTCATCAGGGCTGAGTAGAGGGGCAGGATCACCTCCCTCGACCCGCTGGAGACTCTATTTTTAATGCACTCCAGGATCCCATTGGCCTTCTTAGCCATGAGGGCACACAGCTGCCTCATGGTCAACTTGTCGTCCACCATGACACCCAGGTCCTTCTCTGAAGAGCTGCTCTCCAGAAGGTCAGTCCCCAGCCTGTAGTGATGCATAGGGTTATTCATCCACAGCTGCAGGACCTTCTACTTGCTCTTGTTGAACTTCCGAGGTTTCTCACTGCCCAGTTGTGTAGTCTGTCCAGGTCCCTGGCAGTGCAGCCCTCTAGGGTATCAGCTACTCCTCACAGTTTCGTATCATCAGCAAACTTGCTCAGGGGGCACTCTATCCCTTCGTCCAATAAATTGAACAGGACTGGACTGAGGACTGACTACTAGGGGACACCGCTAGCTACAGGCCTCCAACTAGACTCAGCACCACAGATCACAACCCTCTGAGCTCTGCTATCCAGCCAGTTCTCAACTCACCTCATCACCCACTCATCTAACCCACACTTCCGAAGCTTGCCCAAGAGGATGCTGTGAGAGACGGTGTCACAGAATCACATGGAATCACAGAATGGTTAAGGTTGGAAGGGCCCTCTAGAGATCATCTAGTCCAACCCCTCTGCACAAGCATGTCAAAACCCTTGCTGAAGTCGAGATGGAGAGATCCACTGCTCTCTCCTCATCTACCCAGTCATCATAGAAGGCTAACAGGTTAGTTAAGCATGATTTCCCCTTGATGAATCCATGTTGACTATTCCTGAGCACCTTCTTGCCCTCCACATGCTTAGAGACAACAGCCAGGGTGAGCTGTTCTATCACTTTTCCAGAGATGGAGGTGAGGCTTTAACCCAAACTTCTTCTATCCACAAGTCTTCCTCTCCTCAGGCTTCTTCTCTTGTCTCTAGGGTCTGGGATTCGACTGGTAAACACTGAAACAAAGAAGGCATTCAGTAGCTCTGTTTTTTCAGTGTCTTTCAGGTGATCCTGCCCCTCTACTCAGCCCTGGTGAGGCCACATCTGCAGTATTGTGTCCAGTTCTGGGCTCCCTGGTAAAAGAGGGTTGTGGAACTACAGCGCAGGGCTACAAGGATGATCAGGGGCCTGGAACATCTGCCCTATGAGGAGAGGCTAAGGGAGCTGGGCCTGTTCAGCCTGGAGAAGAGAAGGCTGAGAGGGGATCTCATCAGTGTCTATAAGTACCTCAAGGGAGGCAGTGAGGAGGATGGTGCTGGTATCTTTTCACTGGTGGCCACCGACAGAACTAGAGGTAATGGCCACAAACTGAAACAACAAAAGTTCCACATGAACTTAAGGAAAAATTTCTTAACAGTGAGGGTGACAGAGCACTGGAACAGACTGCCCAGAGAGGTTGTGGAGTCTCCTTCTCTGGAGCTCTTCAAAACCCAGTTGGATGCAGTCCTGTGCCACGTGCTCTAGGTGACCCTGCGTGTGCAGGGGGGTGGGACTAGATGACCTCTAGAGGTCCCTTCCAATCTTAAGCATTCTATGATTCTATGATTCATAACCCGTGCACCAACCCCATTCAGCAGTGGACCCACGTCTTCCCTAATCTTCCTTTTGCCGCAGATACGTTTGAAGAAGCTCTTCTTGTTTCACATCCTTCCCAGATTTAATTCCAAATGCGCCTTAGCCTTCCTTGTGGCATCCCTGCATTCTCTGACAACATTCCCATATTCCTCCCAAGGGAAGGGGGGGATTCTCTTTTCCACATTCTATATACTGCCTTCCTCTGTTTGAGTTTTGTCAGGAGCTCCTTGCTCATCCACACAGGCCTCCTGCCCCCCCCCGCCTGACTTCTTACTCATAGGGATGCACTGATCTTGAGCTCGGAAGAAGTGCTGCTTAAATACTAACCAGCTCTCTTGGACCCTCCTTCCTTTTAGGGCCCTTGCCCATGGGATTCTTCCAAGGAGATCTCTGAAGAGACCAAAGTAGGCACTCCTGAAGTCCATGGTTGCAAGGCTACTTACAGTCCTACTTCCTCCTTGTTGGATCCTGAACTCCACCAACTCATGATCACTGCAGCCAAGGCAGTGGCTCACATCTCCAACAAGTCCCTCTTTATTTGTTAGAACCAGATCTAGTAGCCCATCTTTCCTCATTAGCTCCTCCACAACCTATGTCAAAAAGTTGTCATCAATGCTCTGCAGGAACTTCCAGGACTGTTTGTGCCTAGCTGCGTGTCTTTCCAGCTGATATCAGGGTGGTTGAAGTCCGTCATGAGAACCAGGGCCTGTGATCATGAGGCTACTTCCAGCTGTCAGTAGAAGGCCTCATCAACTTCCTCACCCTGATCACGTGACCTGTGGCAAATGCCTACCACAGTGTCTCCCATGTTAGCCTGCTCTCTAATCCTCACCCACAAGCTCTCAACTCACTCATCATCCACTCCCAGCCAGAGTTCCATGCATTCCATGGAGCATAAAGAGCAACTCCACCACCTCACCTTCCCACCCTGTGACAGCACTCCAGTTATGTGAGCTATCCCACCATGTCTCAGCAATTGTGGTGAGATCATAATCCCGGGACCGCACACAGATCTCCAGCTCCTCCTGTTTATTCCCCACACTGCGCATTGGTTTACAGGCATTTCAGGGAAGTAATTGAGCCTGTAGGTTTCCCAGGAGGGGTGAAAGAGGACCCTGTATGATCATATTCACTTCCATGCTCCCACTGGACACGTTCTAACATTGGCGGCATCACACAGATTGCCCTATCCATGTATACACTCCCCTTCCCCCTTCCCGCTTAGTTTAAAGCCCTCCTAACCAGGCTAGCCAACCTGTTGGCAAAGACATGCGTACCCCTCTTGCTGAGGTGGCTCTTATCATTCCCCACTAGGTGTTGGTCTTCAAACAGCGTTCCATGGTCATAGAAACCAAAACCCTCTCACCAAGACCATTGGTGCAGCCAGTTGTTAACATGCAATATTCACCTTTTCCTCCTCATATCCATTTCTCTCATTGGCAGGATAGAGAGGAACACAACCTGAGCTCCCAGACTTTTGACTGCCATTCCATGTGCTCTGAAATCTTGTTTGATGTTGCTCAGTTTCCCCATGGCATCATTAGTGCCCACATAAAACACAGTAACAAGGGATAATAGTCAGATGCCTGGACAAGCCTTGGCAGTGCCTGGAAGGCAACAGACCTCTCTGGACCAGGAGTCAGGTCTGCAGATTGATGCCTCCGTGCCCTGCAGCAGGGAGTCACCCACAACAATCACAAGCCAGGTGCTCCTTAGAGGTAGAAGCCTTAAGGCATGGACTTCATTGCCTCGCCCTAGATGGACCTTGGTCTGTGAGCTCATTTATCTAGCCCTCAAGTTCCAGGGCCTCATACCTCTTGAACGTGGTCACCTGCAGCGGGAGAGGTGCGCCAGGAAAGGGTTCTCCTGCCACCTTGAACAGGGACCTGTTTCCATTCTTGTTCATCTCTTAATACTGTTAATTCTACTCCCTCCGCACTATGGCAAGAGGGTAGTGGATCCTCAGATCGATTTGGGGGGTTCTCTTGGTGCACTTCTTGGGACGACTGCAGAGCATGGCTCCACTAGTCTATTTCTTTCTTGCATTCTCTGATGGCCCTCAGCCTTTCTATCTCCTCTTTCAGCTCCACCACCAGGCTAAGTCGTTCACCTGCTCACACCTAGGCCAGATGTTGTTTTTGCTGCTCCCTGGTAACATGGAGAGGCTCAGACACTCCCCACAGCTAGAGACATGGACCACCACACGCATATATGTCTGTATCGCCACAATCTTCCTGCTGCAGGCTCTCTGCCAAATACAGACCATGGCTTAGCCTGATTTCTCACTGACAGAAGAGACTGTGGCTCTTTTGCTGAGCTGGACGGAGATGCCTTGGACCTCCTCCCTGCGCTAACAGCCACACCACCTGCCAGGCTGCTCGCGCTCCCTGGGGATGGCTCTTGAGGCACCTTCCCTGCTGGCTCTGCTGAGTCAGAGCTGCCTCTGCTCTGGAGCTCGGCTCTGCCTGCTTGGGGTCGGTGCTGGGGCTGCCTCTTGCTCCCTCTGCTTTCTTCCTTGGCTGCTTTTGCTATGGTTGTGCTCCTCTAGGCAAGGTGCTCCAGCGCGAGCGTCTACTTCAGAGATGATGGCATTTATGAAAAAATCACAGCGACTAACCAGTTTTGCTGTGAGCCAAAATGGATTCCATGGAATTTCAAAATTACTTTGTAAAAAGATATTAAATAAAGTTTTTCTTTCTTTCCTACTACAGCAAATGGTCCAGGACTTCCCACAGCTGAATATGGAAATTACCTAAACCTGGAGGTAGCACTGAGCTATGCTCCTTCTCCTCAGATCACTTTTTCCCTTTTTGCTCCTTTTTATGTAAATTTTAAGTGTACGGAGGAATACTCATTAGCACATATTAAGACTTGTTACAGAATCTTGAAAGGAACAGATGGAGAAAAAAGAAGAGAAAAAAAAGCAAAAGGGGAACAAGAAAATAGAAAAAGGAGAGTGAAAATATGACAATTAAGCTGAGCATAGTCTAAAAAAAGAAATGGGAAAAAATACAATATATATTTTTATTGCCCTTTTCATGATAAATGCCAACATATTTGTCCAATTAAAAATTCATATACCTATTGCAATGACCATAAAAAACAGTTCAGATCAACTTACACAGCAATGACCTTAGGGAAGTGTCATGAGATGTTTAGGTGATTTAAGGCAATCCCAGCACTGCCTTCTGTAATTGTTCGCATAGTGTTAAAAGCATTTACATTTTAAGGACCTATTTACTGCTTCACAGCAAACTTCACAATATTCCATGTTTTTCTAGAACATCCTCGGCAGAATCCTTGAGGCCAAACTTTTTCACCATTCATTCTGCCTTGAATGAAGTGACTCCAGGCTATGCTGAGCAGCCCAGTTGGCATAACAGGGAAAAAATACTCCAAAAAAGTACTCCAGTGTGTCTCTCGGCCAACGCCAACCGCCTGGGCAGTTCACACGAAGGACACCTGCCCTGTTCATGCAGTCACATATTGGAGGTCTGCCCTCAAAACTCATTTCAGGGCCCTGATACTACTGTGCCCAACCTCCTGCAACAGCTCCCATGGCATTATCAGGGTCCCTACCAGCACTGGAAAATGCCACATGTGACTCTCACTACCAGGTAGCTGAGTGTAGACAAAATGAAATCCAGCACTCTCCATAGAAGTGGCAGACCTGAGAGTTTCGGCTGCTTCTGTTCAGTCCGACCACCAATGAACTGCTTGTGAATGTGAGACAGCCCTGGGCAGCCTCAACATGCTTCACCCATAGTCATCATATGCTTTCTGTCTATACCTCATCAGCTAACCTGATTTTTCTAAAAACTCTGAAACACTTATCTTCCACAAGCTGTGCTCATATGCACCTTATCACTAATGATATACAGAGTAAAACAATCATCAGTCACTGGAAATTTGATGCTAAATACATATTTGATTTCAAAATTTGCCTCATGAGATAGTGAGAGAGAGAAAGCATAGAGCCCTATGTGAAGTGGGGCTAGAAAGGGCATGCCAAAGGAAATGTAGTGCTGCCTCTGTCTGGTGCTAGGACTATATTTGCAGTTTAGTCAACACTAGGACTGGTGACCTCAGGCATAGGGCTAGGATTACAGTTAGGTCTAAGGTTTGGGTTAAGAGAGATAGAAAGCCTAGATCCCCTGTGAGTGGGGCTAGAAAGGGCATGCCAAGGGAAATGTGGCACCATATCCAGATTGGTTCTAGGATTATATTTGCCTTTTAGCCAACAATAGGCCTCGTGACCTCAGGCATAGGGCTAGGGTTTGCCTTAGGGGTAGGGTTAGGACTAAGAGAGAGAGAAAGTCTAGAGCCCCATGGGGAGTGGGGCCAGAAAGAGCATGCCAAGGAAAATGTAGCACTGCATCCAGATTGGCGCTGTGACCACATTTATCATTTAGCCAGCCCTAGCCCTGGTGACCTCAAGAATAGCGCCAGGGTTAGGATTAGGACTAGGGTTAGGATTAGGGATAGGGTTATGGTTAAGAGAGAGAGAAAGCCTAGAGCCCCATGAGGAGTGATACTAGAAAGAGGATGCCAAAGGTAATATAGTACCATATCCAGATTGTTTCTAGGACCATATTTGCCATTTACACAACACTAGGCCTGGTGACCTCAGGCATAGGGCTAGGGTTTACCTTAGGGCTAGGATTAGGGTTTGGGCTAGGGTTAAGAGAGAGAGAAAGCCTAGAGCCTCATGAGGAGTGGGGCTAGAACTGGCATGCCAAAGGAAATGTAGCGGTGTATCCAGGTTGGTGTCCAGACTATGTTTGCGTTTTAGCCAACACTAGGCCTGGTGACCTCAGGCATAGGGCTAGAGCTATGGTTAGGGTTATGGTCTGGGTTAGGGCTAGGGTTAGGGTTTGGGTTAAGAGAGAGAGAAAGCCTAGAGCCCTGTGAGGAGTGGGACTAGAAAGGGCATGCCCTTTCTATATGCCCTTTCTATAGCATGCAGCGCAATATCCAGATTCGGTCTAGGACTCTCTTTGCCGTTTAGCTAGCAGTAGGCCTGGTGACCTCAGGCATAGGGTTACAGTTAGGTTTAGGGCTAGAGTTAGGGTTTAGGGAGAAAGAAAGCCCAGAGCCCCAGGAGAAGTGGAAATAGAAAGGGTATGCTGAGGGAATGGCCTTATTTTCACCAGGGGAGGTTCAGGTTAGATATTAGGATAATTTCTACATGGAAGGTGCAGTCAAGCATTGGAATAGGCTGGCCAGGGAAGTGGTGGTGTAATCGTCCTTGGAAGCCCTTAAGAAATGCTAGATGAGGCTCTTTCTTTGGAACATAGTTTAACAAGCATGGTGTTGAAGGGTTTACAGTTGGACTCAATAGTCTTGAGTGTGTTTTACAACCATAATGATTCTATGATTCTGTGATACATTTCATTACTACAGGCTAGCTTTTCACTGGAATGCTCTGAATGAAACAGTCTCTTTCACAAATGGAAGTCAATTATTTTTCCCTTGTCTTTTTTTTTTTTTTTTTTGAGGTCCTTTGGATATAAAACTATCCTTCTTTATCGATTGTATATTAAAGTTTTGCCGCTTATTCTCCATTTAGAAAGCAAGAATGCTTGCTACTAATTTTAAATATAATTTTGAATCTATTTATACATAGTATGTATAAGTGGAATTTAAAAGTAGACATTCATCATGCTATTATATATCTCATCAGTTTTAAAACAGCACAGTTAATTGCAAGCTTATATGTAACAAAATACAGTAATCCTTCTAAGCTCCATTGCACTCTGCTAATTCTTATGCTTTGGTTGCATCATTGTATTTTGCATATTTCTAACACCATTACTGTTTGAAAGAGTGACCAGCAACTACTAGTATGATTAGAATAAAGGTGGAAAATGGCAACATCAGAAATAAACCTAAAGATTAACTACAAAATAAGGAGAAATAGATATATATTTCTACAGAAATCTGAACTTAGCATACTAAGAATAATAAGTTACAGGAAAGCTTGTGATCATTCTGTTGGATAATATTAGCACGATCAGGACCTGGGGGACACAGGGAAAACATACTTTCTGTTCTGAAATGCATGCTCAGCGTACATATCTGCATTTCCACGTAAATGATTTAACCTTTTAGCCATCTGACAGTTAGAAGTGCCACTACTCACATTTATACAAATAATTGAACTACAGACGCAAATTTGGCAGACAATTATATCCTCAGAAGTAAGTTTCACCCTTTTGGAAATCTACCTCTTCATTTCCATTTCCTCCACTATAAAGTTTTCTGAGTCAAGCTTGTCCTGTCCGCGTGTGATAAAAATTCTCCATTGATCACCAGCAATATGTCTAATTAAAAGTGGTTAGCAACAAATGATAATGGCGCTAAATCAGAGGGACTAAAGACTCAGCTTTCTTTCTTTTATTTCACTAACCACACTTGTAAATCCTGTAGTCCTAACCATGCACCAGTTCCATATCCAATGTGAGGACTACAAAAAATTATTTCCCGTTTATATCACTAACACTGCATTTATCCCCTTTTTTGCCCATATCTTGCCCTGAAGGCTAAATGTTTGACAGGTGAGTTAGCAATTTACAGGAAAGAATGGGAAGGGAAAGAATAGAAAAGGTCATGTATATAGCAGTGGAAAAAATGAAGCCCTATTGTTGCTATTATTTCAATGTGCCTGTGTTCAGCTGTAATGACTGTGTGATAATTCTGAAATTTATTCCAATTGATTTGTAAAACCAGAATAATGTCTCATTATGTTGTGTAATACTGCACAAAGAAAGCCTATGCAATAAAATAGTGCTTTAGGCAGTGGTGTCTTACATGATAAGAGTTCTACTATAAGGGCCATTGTCCCATGATCTTCTTCAGTGTCTGGCTTTTTTTGTCTTTCATTTATTGCTGTTTTGTCATGACACTAACAAAGATATTGCTTTTCAAATTAATTATCGTTGTTTTTTTTCTCAACATTTCTCAAATGAAATAATGGTGAGATAGAGCACCATGCTTTCATTTTGCTGATAATCACTTTTTCCAAGGACACTGATAGGTTTCAAATTTATGTTGATAATGAAGATACTATTGTCTACAGATATCTTGATAAGCCTCTTTCTCCTTTTTTTTTTTCTTCTTTTCTTTTTACTTTTCTTCAGCACAGCAGCCTTTGCGCTTTCCAGGTCACTGAAAATGGGACAGAATGCTCTGAGCTATGTACCCTACTGAGTGGAACTGTTTTGTTCACATGCACTGATGCTCCCTTTGTAAAGAAATAAAAAAATCAGGAAAATGAATAAGAGAATGCATTTTATTCTATGCTTTAAGGTTGACAAAGCAGCACATCACAAACCTCCTCTATATTTGAAATTTTTCACAGATATGGTCAGGTGTAGATAATTCTGTTTTGTTAGGACATTTAATCATGTTTATTACACTATGACACTAAAGTTTATATGAAGCTGTTTCATTTACGCAATAGCACATTAATGTGATAATGCTGTCCAAGAAAACTTATATCCTTTTTTTCCCTCTACATTAAAAAATTAAACGTTTTGTTATATTATTTATACTATTGATAAAAACTAAAAGTTTTGCAAAACTATGTAACAGAACTGAAACAACAATTAGTTGAAAATTCTGTCTTAATATAAAGGTACCAAGAAACAACATACGCTATGCACAGAAATACAGTGAATGCTGACTGCTGTGAGATCCAACAAAGAAGAAAAGCTGAGGTGAGGGAAATCTCTGTTGCAAAGACATAGTTTCTATAAATATATCAAGAAGGAAGTCTCTTGCTGTAAAAAGAACAGAGATGGGGAGCTCACTCTGTCTTGGGTGGAACTAGACGGTTTTTCCTGTCTGCTATTTTGTGAGACGAGAAGAAAATCCTAAAAGTGATGGATTCTATTGCACAAGAGAGAAAGAAAAAGTAAAAGTTCAAATGTTTCAAGAGAAGTGAAACGAAGAACACAAGCATTGAAGCTATGAACAGATGATAATCATGATCATAGAAATGATATTCTAAACACATTTGGAGTATTATTCCACAAAGCAAAATAGATAGAAGCACCTTTTTTATTAATGTTTATATAATAGCAAACTGTTATCTACATTTATTCTTTATCTCTGCAAAATTCAGAACACTGGGACATCATTATTTTTACAGCTATTACATACTTTCCAAAAGATGCTGAGAATTTTCTCTTAATATCCATTTGTAAATTCAATAGAATGGATTGGTGTTGAATATCTACTCAAGATGATCTATATAGTATATAAAAAAAGTCCCTCTTTTATGGACACAATTTGAAGCATTTGATGAGTGATGATTTTCATAATATTGGTAACTCCGAAAATCTTAGGACTTCATTTGCATAATCAAAATCTCAGCCATTTCATAAACTTTATTATATTGCAAATAAAAGTCCTGGATGCTTTACTTGATCTCCTGTATTTTCTCTCAATCTATCTTTTGCTGTTTTTTCTTATTATGCAAGTATCTAAGCCAGGTCCAGGTTTTCTTTTAGAAAACAATGCCCACATATGCTTCCGAAAATGGATGAATGAAGAACAGTAGCCTGACTCCACTATGGGAAAACTTAGTTATACACATTATTATGAGAATTGACCAAAACACCACAGTTATGTGACCTATACCACAAGAAGAGGCGTAAGCTCAGCTCTCCAAAGTAAAAAGACTTCAGCTCTATCCAGCACAGCATGTTTGTGTGGGTCCATTTTCAGGAAGGGATTGGTCACATGCTTAAATGCTTTACAGGAGCAGTACCAGAATGTTTAATATTTGGCAATTTTGAAATTTATGAATCGTCCGCTGCCTCCATGACTCCCTCTGCTCTGCAGTATTCTTTCCCTTATGGTTCAGAAGCAGACCGTGACCTTCTGAATCACCAACATCATTGCCTCTAGATTTGATTTTTTTTTTCCTTTTTTCTCTCTCTTTTTGAATCCTTCTAAGCAGTAGTGTCAGTCCCTGAGCCTGTAGGAAACAAGAACAGATATTAGCCTGAGGATTACAGAATTAGATTTTCTCAAGTAAATATATACACGTGACCAGTGTGTTAGTGACATTTTATCAAGCTGGAATAGAGATATGTGGCAAAGCAAGAAAGTAATCAAATGTCATTAATCATCCTGGAGTATCTTCTGATATTCCTTGTCATGTGCTGGGAATCTCTGGTGTTTAACCTGAGTTTTAGGACAAACTGCCTAACCTCAAGCTTTAATTCTAGGCACGCTTCAGTTTCTAAAGTTCTCCCCAGGCACTTGAGTGCAGAATTGCTTTGATTCACTGCAAAATGGAGTTTGACATATCTTATTATGAAGAAATACTTCGTTTAAAAATGTACAGAGTAGCTCTAAGAAAACAACAGCAAACTCAGAAAACCTTGTCAGCAGTGCAGCTCTTCTACAAATGCAACCAGCAAAACTGAAATAATATTTCCCATTAACAATGAAGTTTGTAAATAGCTTTAAGTAGAACCTGTGAAGGTACTCTTTCTAGAAGTTGAGAAAATGTTGAGAATTTATGAATTTGTTATGTTATCCTCAGAACACTTCCAGAGAATTCAGTTGTCTGACCCACTCTTAATGGTACTGTCACCTTCCTTTTATCCGGGAGAAATATAAGTGGAGTATTTATGCACTGGGTCTTGTGGTACTAGTCTCTTCAAGTCAATGTAGAAGACAGTTTGCATATGAGATGACTGAATACCAGGTTGCATTAAAGTAGAATGTTAAAACCATATATACATTTTGTCATTCTCTGCAAAAGATATTCAGTTATGTGACATCAGTGGCACAATGCCCTTTTTTTGTGTGTATGTGTGTGTCTTCCTTTTCCTTTTGTGGCTTTCTTCCTTTCACTTTCCTCTACAGTGGCATTTCTGTCCCTTATATACCCAAACATGATAATAATATACATGCTTTAAATGACATAGTTAGCTCACCTAGGTATTTCAGATATTTCAAGAGTCCCCTGGAATCTTAGCCTTCCTCTTTCCTCCCGTAGAAAACTGAAAGAAATGCCCACTGTTTAGATGAATAGATGGAGACTATCTCTCATAAGGTGAAATATTAACTGAATATTCATGGTGCAACTCTGATAACATGACAACCTCTCTCCCTCCTAGGTACTTGGTTGCTGCATAGTGTGTGTTGTGTTGCCTTGAACTTAATGCTCCACTCAAGCTGCTAGTCCTAGTCAGGTTCTATACACACTGACACAGTTCAAGTGACACATAGATATTATATTACAGAGGCCAAAAGGGATGTTGAGACTGAATAATTTGTGGACACAAATTATAGAACAGCAACAATAAAATCAATTATTAGTTAATAACAGAGATCTTCAATGTTGTCCTGTACCAGGAATGAGTTTTCTTGTGCTGAGGTCTGAATTCAAAGTAGGCAAAGATTAAAAGTAAATAAAAATAAAGGAAGAAGACAGTAAAGAGGAAGTAAAGCCACTATCATAAATTGTTTATGGAAGTGAAAGAAAGCTTAAAAATGAAGGGATGCTACAAATTGGATGGTTCCAATTAAATTAAATGTCATATGAGGGCTGTTTAAGCCAGAGATTTCTGTCAGGATAGGCTGGAAAAGAAAGGTTAAAATAAAAGTTGAGGAAATGGACACTTTTATTAGCACATTTTGGTTGGTTAAACTATCAGACAAGGTTGCCTTTCCAGTGGAGAGGTCACCAATCAGGAATGCAGAGGTAGCCAGAAGCAAGCTGAACCTTCACAACTGCCACTCACACCCTCTCCTTGCACCTGGAATTGCTGGGAATCCTTCATGCTTGGCAGGCACCTCTTGCTTGGCAGGCACTGCATCCAGATGGAGGATGAGAAACCAGTAGCCTCAGCATCTCTGCCTATTTCTACGAAATAGCCTGGAATGCTCAGGAAAGAAGCACGCATCATTCTTAAGGGATCATTTCCACATATGGCTTATTTAATTATTCCTCTTACTTTTAAAAATCTCTCTCCTCCCTTGTCAGTCTGATAAAAGCCTGTAGTTTGCGAGTCTTGCAACTGTCATGAGCCATGACTGATAAGACTAGATAAATCCATGCCTTCAACAGCCAGTCACCAGAGAGCATTTGCCAGCTACAGGAGCAGCCCAGTTGACCAGGTACTGTGTTTATGAAGTAGGTAGAGTACAAAAGGGAATCAGCACCAGCAGCAGACAGAGTTTTCCTTTGTCATTCTTTTCTTTCCCTGGATTCATTTTTGACTTTTGTAAGAAAGAAAGAGAATCCAACTGTTAGAATAGTCCCAAATTTTCTCCCCCTCACCACGACACAGGGCTCTTTATACCGTCTTTGATATAACGCAAAAAGATTGTCCAGCAGGGAATTTTCTATACTCTGCTGAATGAGCAAAAATTTTAAAATGTAAATTTCATTGAACTGAATGCTCAGAAAGGATGCAGGACATTCAGTTCTATATTCTTTTAATAGGTCTATGAAACAGTTTGGTGTGGTGGATAACATGCATTTAACTGTGCAGGACAAGCTGTCTCACAGTGAGCTTAGGATGAGTACAAGGAAAGGCAGCTAGTGCTGTTCTTTTCAGACACAGCGTATGTGCACAGCCTAGCAAATGTGACATACTGCACTATGTAACCAAGTGGCCTGACCACAACCCATTGATTCTTTGGTGCTCCACTTAGTAGTCCATTAATCAACTTATCTGCCAATTGGGCAGAAATGTCGTGTATGTTCTTCCAGCTCCAGCACAAGCACTAGAAGTCTAGATTTTTAATATTATACGGAGCAGCTTAAACAGCCACATGGGGATAAAACATTTTTTTTATTTCCCACTCATTTTCATGCATATAAAAAGGGGTGTGAAGATGTGCAGATGTTACATCACATGATGCAAAAATACAGCTGTCATGCAGAAATACAGCTTCATGCTGGTGACCATTAACTTTATACAATACAATAGCCTCGTTTTACACTATAGGCATTTATCTCATTCTCGCAGATGTGAACTAGTGTTTCAAGGATGCCTTTACCGTCTCCATTACAGCTGTGCTGAAAAGGAAGAGCTAATTACTTCACCAGCTGTATGCAGAGAGACAAAGTTTAACAAGAGAGTCAATAGGTGAAAACAGGAACATGGTGAAGAAAATGTGGTTTTGTTGTTGCAAGGGAATCATTACAATTCTTTGGAAAAATATACTGAATTACTGACGCTTAAATCACCATAGCTCGTAGCTATACAGCAACCTAAAAATGGGTATTTTTAACAGGCATTCAGTTAATTGTATTTAGTATAATAGAGGTTACATTCTGCTCCACCTATACCTGTATTAATAACAAAGTGCAGAAAGGTATCTTGACCTCTGCTGCAGCAGCTTTTGCAGAATTCTGGAGGAGTTCTCTGCTTTTATTTTTTGGCAAATCCTCTGCCTTTCTTTCTTTGGAGATGCATAGGTGAATAATATCTGTTGGAACTGATAGAAGCAGTTCACCAAGATAAAGTGTTCTTACATTTCTGACATGTCAAAAACATGTGCTTCCTTCTTAAATAAACCATTGAATGAATATTCTCATACAGTATTACTGAAGCATGCAATATAGCTTCACTAAAAGCCTTCCACTGCCCTCCAGATACACTTAAGAAAATAACTCTAAATGGAAAGATGATACTCACAATAGCTAAAGGGAATGCAATCACATTCAGAGAAGATGAAGCAGCTACCTGCACTTCTTGCAAGTCCTTGGGCTCTTGCTATTGGCAATTCTAGCAAAAACACTTCACGGGGGACACCCCAGTCTGCTCCAAAACTCTCAGGTTGTATCATAGGTTCTGGCTTGGATTGCTATTGTGAGGAAGTCTTATGTCTATGGAAAGCAGTTACTTAGAATTGGGAAAAAGTGTTAGAAATAAATAGAAGACACACAGTTCTTCCCCAGAAGTATGTTAGACAAAATAGGCAGAGGAACCCCAGGAGATCTATGGAATAGATGCTTAAGTCCAGAGAGAGTGTCTGTCAGGGTAGCCTGCCAAGTCAATCCAGCTGTTTGAATAAGAAACTCAAGTCCATTTTTAGATTTTGGCATAAGATAGAGGAAAAATTCTGGTCTTGAGACCACTGTTTGAAGTAAGGATAGGAAGAGCCTAGTCATGAGTAGAGCAGTCATTCAGAAAGCATAGAAATTACTAAGATATTCAGAAGCAGTAAAATGTCATTACCTCGTTCTAGGCTATCAGTGGAAATGTACACCTATATAAATATCCAGTAACACTGGTCTAATTTTATTCTGGTTCTATACTTCTTGATTTCCAATTTATTTCCTTTTGTTCAGTTAAATAAGAATTATTCACTTGCTTTTTACATCTCACTTTTGCCAGCTCACCTTCTTTGAAATAATGTCTTAAGAAATCATGTTTTTTTTCTTGACTTTTAATCCTTTTCTTGACTTGGGAATATGACAGACAGATTCCCACAGAGGCAAGGGAAGTGTCCCCCACCTTGGAGGCTGAATATTGCAAATATCCCAGACTCTCTCCTAATTCTCCCAGCTGAAGTGCTGCTGCGTAGAACTCTCCCAACTATTTTTGCTCCATAACATTTTGACTATTTGACCCTCGAGCTCCACCACAAAGCCTGCATTGAAACATCAAGCGATATAGTTTTAAAACACCAACATGTCAAATCCTTCAGGAAGGTCAAAGGTAATTTTTTAACTCTCCTTTCCCTCTTCTGTGAATAAGACCTGGATTTTTCAAGTGTGTAAAAACCTAGAGTAAAGGCTCTTGCTAGAGCCTTTAACTCCTGTAGAGCTACTACCTCCTCAATAAGAAAAAAAGAGGTGCTGTTGTTTAAGGCTATGGGGGACATACTGAGCTTCCCATCCCCTCTCTTACATGTTCTGCCTTTCTTTCCCTTAAAAATCCTGTTGAAAGGAGTACATTTCCTCGAATGAAATTCAGAGACAAGGACTAGAATAGCTTCCTGCCGGCAGTTGCCAGGTTGATATATCAAAGTGATATTGCTTTCTGCATTGAGTGGCACCAATCAGCAGGAACTGTCAGTCTGTGGATGTAATAACTGTGGTGCAAGTCGTCAGGAATCTAAATGAAAGTTTCAGCTGTACTTGTATACTAAAAGTACCTGTCGGCTATGGGGAAATAGGAGGGGAGAAGAACTTTGCTGATGTTATCAAGAAAAGAATAGCATCAGAAGAAAAATTTGGTAAAGCACAGAGCACCTGAATCCTCTTCCCAGTGTAACGTGAGAGTCAGATGACTGAAGCTGCGACATACAATGAACTTAGCACCTGCACTCTGCATAATTCCTAGGTCTATTAACTATCCTGTTGAAGAAGAGGTGGAAACTCATATGGTGCCTGACTCTGTCAATATCTGATACCTGTATCTGCACCCAATTTTTAACGAATAGATTTCCTCAGTTCTTACCCCAACCAGTTGGTGTTCTTAGAGGACAGGGGAGAAGATTACCTACAGATGCACACCTGGGAGGGGAAAGCAGCTGGGACCTTCTTATCAAACAGTGCGGATCAGCTGGAGTGCTGACCCATAAAGGACAGGGCTGCATCCTGTGCCTTAGGAACTTGCATTTCTGTTGTCCTAGGGAACATCTCTAGCTATGGGGTTTTCCCTCTAAGTAGGGCCATTAAGCACTTGGATGGTCAAGGAAGGTGTGAATTATGCAAGGTTTAGGACTTTCACGTGAAGTCAGGGAAGGAGATGCAGACTTCTAATTTCTGCTTTCAGAGGTGCTTTACAATAATATTGTATTAAGGTTGCTCAGTTGAAAGAAATAATGTTTGAGTAAGGACTAAACCCTGTTTCTCACTTCTTGAAGGAGTACCATAGTACTGAGAGGTTTTTGCTTTTCCCTGTTTGTACTGGAATTTCTGAGGCTGTCAGTCCTGAGTTGTCAGTGCTGAGACTTTTGATTCCTGCAGATCTAGGACTGAGCAAAATAAATGATGTAATGAGGTGGACAATCCTTCTGCTAGAGAATTACAGATCTGGACATCAGTGTTATTTTAACTGAATGTGAATTGAATGCAGTATATGAATCATTATTTTATTTTTTAATATTCTGCACTGTGAGAATGAGATGGAGTTACCGCCATGCAGTATCTGTGACTAGTGACTACAGTCGCAGTATTGATTTAGTTTTCTGCTTGCATGACTATGATTCACTAGGGAGAGGGAAATGCTCAGACAGTAGTAGCACAGGTAATGCAGTAGTACATGAACAGATAATGCTTGTCTTCTCTGAACTGCGTAAGTGAGCCATCATTCAAAAAACACCTTAGGCTGATACAAAATGCTGCTAATCTACAGCAGTGTTATGCTGCAGATGACCAACACCTGATTCACATCATTGTCTAGAAACCTGTTTTTCTGCTGAATCAAGTAAAATCACATTATCTATTAAAAAATGAGCTGTGGTGTTGAGCTTTCAGATCAGGACAGTGAGACTCACCACCCTCAAACGGAGACCAGAGGAAGGCTGTGAGCCTTTTCAAAGGGAATTCTTCCTTAAATTATGGGGGGTGGAAGCATCTATGTTTCATCTCACTGTTATAGACACACAACTAAATGTATTGCCTTTAATAATGTTTGGAGTTTATCCCTTTTAAATCATGCAAAATTCAAGTTAAACTTGCTAATGCTTTGCTTTCAAAGCAAAACTATTTTACAGTAAGATTGAAAGATTCGAAAAAGCAATCTTCCACTCTCTCATTTATGTCTTCCAATAATGAAAATGATAAACTCTTCCTGTAGAGTGGGATTATGTGGACATTTTAAACAGCCTCTTTATCTGGGAAAACTTGAGATAAAGGTAGTACAGATCTGATTTATCAATTTATCTGAACGCAGTATCTAAAAGATTAAGGTGATAACTGGTCTAAGAGGATATGTAACATTGATTTTATAAATGGATGCAGGTTAACCAGATATGACTGCAGAATTTCCTCCCATCTGTCCCTTTGGGGAAGTGCGCTGCAGTAGTACTGAAGATTTGTGGCAGATCTCATGCTTAGGCTCTCCAGGCTGTTTTGTCCTCCTGGATGTTGTCAATTGCATTTGCATTTCTTTTTATTCAGAATACCTCACACCCCAGTGTCCACTGAGAAACAGATTCTTGTGTATGCATACTGCGGCATTGCTCCAGGGAGACAGTTTCTATCTCAGTTCATCATTGGTTGTCCTAGAATCCTAGGTTTCTTTTTAAAGGATTTTGCCTAATATCTAGCAAGCCTTCAGTAGAATGATCTTCCGTATTATTCAACTTCGGAACAGATGCCAGAATAAGGAAGAATTATCGAAAATATCCAAAATTGTTTTCCATTAAATAATGAAATGCAAAATTAAAAGCATTTTATAAAAATGTTTACAAAAATCTTTAACCTAGAAGAAAAAGGCAATACTAAATGACTGGAAACTTAAACTGAAAATATTTGAATTGTAAGCAATGTGCCAATATTTAATAGTGACAATAATTAACCACTGGGAGAACAGATTATGGGGAGAGCCTAATAACTTTTAGTCTTTGAATCAAATTCAGATCTCTCACATTGGCAATTGTACTGCAATACAGCTCCTTCACAGGAACCACTGGTTCAGATTATCTGACTTGTACCATGTA